CTTCCGATTCTCTCCCCCATCCCACCGGGGGGGGGGAGGGCAGTGGGAGAACAGCTGTGTGGTGCTCAGCTGCCGACTGAGGTTAAACCACGACAGATAGGGAAAAAAAAGCTCAAATTCCAAAACAAATAAAACCTTCAAAGCCCTAAGAAGCAAACTCATAATATCAATTATAAAAAAGAGAATTAGCTGACACACAGAAAATTTGATGCATAGGAGAGGACGCAGTATGACTGGGAAGCAGTGTCTCAAAATTCATCAGTTAAATCTGAAGGATTTAAGAAGTATGTGGAGAAGAGGTATCTGGGTGACACAGTCTACTTGGACTCCTAAATGGTATTTGATAAAGTATTATACGAATGAGTCCTTAATTAATTTCCCATGAGTTAGGGATAAAAGTCCTCACATGAACATATAATGCATTTAAAGACAGAAGACCTACAGTAAAAATAAATTACCAGTTTTCACACTGGCAGATACAGTAGAGTACTGCAAGTATCCATGCTGGATCCCATGGTTTCCAGTTTATTCAGAAACAATACAGAAAAAAGGGGATTTTCTGAGATGACTTAGGAAAACCAGCTGGATTTCTTATTTACAGAGGACAAAATTCAATGAAGGTTAATGTATGTTTGTACATTAGGAAAAAGTCTTCACTTTATATAATGCTGGACTCTGAGCTGCCTAGTAATCAAACAGGAACAAGATCATGAAGAATATAATGCTCCACTGCATTCAAAAGAATAAATGTAATGTTAAGAACTATTACGAAAGGAATAGAGAACAAAACAGAAGTCATTGTTATACCACTACCTATGCCCAAATGCGTCTGCGTGTTGAATATTCTATGCTCTTTCCCCATAATAACAGAACTGGAAAACAGAACTGGATGACAGACATGGGACAGTTTCCATTCATTAAGCAAGTTAATGGATTAGGAGTCTTCAGCTTGAAAAAGAGGAAGAATATGCTAAAAACCTATAAAGTCATTTGTGACATGTAGGAAGCGAATATGGAATGACTGACCAATACAGCTTTGAAAGTAAGAACCAAGGCATTATATGAAGATAGTATATGCTAGGCGGAAAATAAAGAAACAAAGTAATTTTTCACACAACACATGACAAAGCTGTTAAAGTCCTTATCACAGAATGTTGTGGATGTCAAAAATCTAAAATGCAACTGTAAAATTAATGGAAGAAAAATTCATCAATTTGAAATTAATTTTTAATACTTAAAGAGAAAATATAAATTAAGACACAAAAAAAATAGAACGTAGGACAGCAAATAAGCAGGGGCTTTGCCTGAATCCCTTCTAAAATCCTAATTTCTTGATGAATATTTAGCATCCCTTAAATATCTAAACCATAAGAAGAATCATAGTAGATTCCCCTTATTGTACAGTTGAACATCCATTTGTGTAAATATTTCAGCACATAACACTGAGAATGTGGAGAAAATGGTGCTTGGCAAATTTATATACAAATAAGACAGAAAAGTCACACAAATTTAGTATTAAAATATATGGTTATAAAACAGCATAATATACCGAAACAAGACAATTTATGGGACAAAACTACATGGTGCAAATTCGGATATTGCCAGGAATATAAATTTGATCCAAGAGAAGACAACCTGGCACTATGAAAGGCCTTAACAAACAAAACTGACTCACTCCTATTCATTCTGAAAACAGCTCTGAAGTTCTCTAGCTCATGTTTTACTATTTTTTACCTTAGCTCTATAAGCTTTTTAACTGGCTCTGTCTTAAATCACATCCAACAATTCCTCTTCTTTTTTTTAGAAGCAGTCTGGTACTTGGACATACCTTTACCTTTGGCAAGCAGGTAGGTGAAAAGGAAGGCAAGAAGCATGTGGAGCGCCTAATATACCAATGCATACTGGAACCAGGAAAATACAATTAATGTTCTTAATTTTACTGATTACAAGTTAGGAAATCCTAAAACTCTTACAGAAAATAATACTGTGAAAGTCTTTCCTTCCAGACAATCTATACTTTACATATAGCAGATGTCCTCTAGTGAAGAATATGAAAAACACCATTTATATCTCCCTGGTATAAAAAGACCCTTGAAAATTCCCCATTTTCTTTTCTTTCCATATTTCTGAACGCTGAATCTAACACCCTGCAATAACACTGAACACTCTATGCATATGTACATTATTATTCATTAAGAATTAGGTAAAGTGAAAAAACAAGTGTCTTGTAAGTCTTGTAAGCCTTCATAGTCAATAGTCATGGCAAGGCTGCTATATAAGGATGAACTAAAATTTCAATTCCAGATAACTAATGACATCCAAATGATAATTAAATAATTATTCTAATGTAGTATTTCATTTGCAATGGTTACATTTGGCATCAAATAAAACTATAGTGATTTACAAATTCTTCTAATCATTTAGTTACACAAAGAATGAGATTGTTATTTGTTAGTATTCATTTTAAATCACCTAGGAATAACAAAATCTTTGTATGGTTGAGAATATTTAATGCGTTAACTTTACTTTTTAGCCTGCCATTACCTGTGACCATTTAGTAACCAATTTATTTTCTCTTCCAGAAACTACTGCTATTTGCTATTTTTCAAGTGTTTTAAAATACATAGTTAAAATCATAAGTTTAAAATTATTTTTTTTTTAATATTAGGTTGCTTGCCCAATAATTCTCTGATACAAAGATCATTATTTTCTATTCTTCCACTCTAAAAAAAATGAATTTAAATTTAAAAATATACCTTGTAAGAGATCTCTTCCACAGTTTTAGGGTTTTTTAAGTCCTCATACTTTTTTTTTTCCCCACTGTAGGACAATTCAGCATTACAGAGATCTTCATTTAGTCTTTCTACTTGCTGTTCAATCTTACACATGCTTTTGCAGATAGTTTCAACTTCTGACTGATACGCCTTCTTTTTTTTTTTGAACTCTTGAAATAAAACAGCCAATTTTACATTTCTTTTTATAAAGTATATTAACTAAAATAAAAGTAAAACCCATTATTGAGTAAGTAAAGCTAAAACATTTTAAAATCAAAAGCAGTATTTTATCATCCTGCTATTTGATCCTGAAAATGCCAAGCTCAAAATTTTGAAGTCTCTTTATTCATGAGTATAAGCCCTGACAGTTCATTGATCTCGAACAATTATATGTATCCATTTCTTTGTTTTCCTATATATCTTTACTGCTAACCTGTATGATAGAATCACAGAATGGCTGAGGTGGGAAGGAACTTCTGGAGGTCATCTGGTCCAACTACCCTGCTCAAGCAAGGCCACCTAGAGACAGTTGCCCAGGACTGCGTCCAGATGGCTTTTGAATATCTCCAAGGATGGAGAATCCACAACCTGCATCGGCAACCTGTGCCAGTGCTCAGTCACCCTCACAGTGAAAAAGTGTTTCCTGATGTTCATACGCAGCCTCCTGTATTTTGGTTTGTGCCCATTACCTCTGGTCTTGTAACTGGGCACCATTGAAAAGAACCTGGCTCCATCCTCTTTGCACCTTCCCTTTAGGTATTTACACACATTATTAAGATCCCCCCTGAGCCTTCTCTTCGCCAGGCTGAACAGTCCCAGCTCTTTCAGGCTTCATCATAGGAGAGAAGCTCCAGTCCCTTCATCATCTTCATGGCCCTTTGTTGGACTCTCTCCAGTATGTCCATGTGTCTCTTGTACTGGGGAGCCCAGAACTGCACACAGTACTCCAGGTGTGGCCTCACCAGTGCTGAGTAGAGGGAATGATCACCTCTCTTGACCTGCGAGCAACATTCCTCCTAATGCAGCCCAGGATGCTGTTGGACTTCTTTGTGGCAAAGGCACATTGCTGGCTCTTGTTTAACCTGGTGTCCACCAGGACCTCCAGGGCCTTTTCAGCCAAGCTGTTTTCCAGCTGGGAGGCCCCCAGCATATATTGGTGCCTGGTGTTGTTCCTCCCCAGGTGCAGGACTTTGCAATCCTCCTTTTTGAACTTCATGAGGTTCCTTTCGGTGCATTTCTCCAACCTGTTGAGGTCCCTCTGGATGGCAGCATGGCCCTCCAGTGTATCAGCCACTCTTTCCAATCTGGTGTCATCAGCAAACTTGCTGGGGGTACACTCTGTCCCATCATCTAGATCATTAATGAAGACGTTAAACAGGACTGGACCCAATATTGACCCCTGGGGTATACCACTAGTTACTGGCCTCCAACTTGACTTTGTGCTGCTAAGCACTACCCTCTGGGCTTGGCCATTCAGCCAGTTTTCAATCCACCTCACTGTCTGCTCATCCAGCCCGTACATCAACAGCTTGTCTATGAGGATCTTAATGGGAGACAGTGTCGAAAGCCTTACTGAAGTCCAGATAGAGAATATACACTGCTCTCCCCTCATCTACCAAGCCAGTCATTTCACCACAGAAGGTTATCAACCTGGTCAAGCATGACATCTCTTTGGTGAATCCATGCTGACTACTCCTGATGACTTTCTTGTCCTTGTGTAATGTGCCTGGAAAATGGTTTCCGGGATTAGCTGCTCCATCACCTTCCCAGGGATTGAGGTGAGGCTGACTAGCCTGTAGTTCCCTGGGTCCTCCTTCTTGCCTTTCTTGAACAAAGGAGTGACATTTGCTTTCCTCCAGTCCTCAGGAACTTCTCCCAGTCGCTCAAAGATTATTGAGAGTGTCCTCACAATGACATCAGCAAGCTCCCTCAGCACTCATGGGCGCATCCCATCAGGGCCCATGGACTTATGTACGTCCAGTTTGCTTAAGTTTTCCCTGACCTGATCCTCTTCCACCAAGGGTATGCCTTCCTTGCTCCAGCCTTTCCCCCTGGTCTCTGGGACATGGGATTCCTGAAGGCTGACTCTTGCTAGTAAAGACTGAAGCAAAGGCAGCATTCAGTACTTCAGCCTTTTTCCATGTCCTGTGTTATCAGGTTCCCTGTCTCATTCAACAATGGGCCCACATTTTCCCTAGTCTTCCTTTTGTGATCTATGCACTTACAGAAGCCCTTCTTGCTGCCTTTGATATCTCTTGCCAGATTCAATTCCATTTGGGCTTTGGCTTTCCTAACTGCATCTCTGCATGCTCAGACAATGTCTCTGTATTCCTCCCAGGTCACCTGTCCCTGCTTCCACCTTCTGTAGGCTTCCTTTTTGTGTCTGCGTTTGGCTGGGAGCTCCTTGTTCATCCATGCAGGCCTCCTGGCATTTTTGCCTGACTTCTTATTCATTGGCACGGACTGCTCTTGAGCTTGAAGAAGGTGATCCTTGAATATTAACCAGCTTTCTTGGGCCCTTCTTCCCAAATATAATATAAAACTATCAATTTTGAATGAGAAGAAAGTGGCAAAAACAGCCCTTTTATCTGAAAGTGTTGAAATTGGTCACACAGTCTCAGTTCTTCTATCTTATAATAAATGGCCAGGTCTAGCGTACTTCATACCAGTGCAATGGTACAGGTTAGTCATACAGCTGGTGAATTCAAATTCCTAAGTATGTTTCTATTTACAGAATTCTTAGGTCACATAAAACAATTTTAATTTATTTGCATACAAACAAACTTTCAGTAGAAGTGAAGTCTTTAACAGAAGTGAACTTAAAATACCATTAGATTACACTATTGGATTACACAGCAAAAACCAAACTCAATCAGATACAAAAAACCTACAGGTAAACATTGATATTACCTTGATTGACAGAATACAACCTCTGTATGATTAGAACTTAATATTCTTCAATGGAATGTTTCTTTGCAGAAGAATGGGATAACTGAAAAATAAACTGTTTACTACCACTGAGTATCTGCTGAATTAGAATGATAAACCTAAATGGTATTGTAAGGATCTTCACAGGATATATAACATTGTTTCCGAAACTTAATGTGCAAACCCACAACAGGTTGGCACTGATCACACATTTCCTTAGCTGAATTAGTGGCCAGATTATTTCTCTCAAAGATCAGCTCCTTTAATACAGGGCATCATTTGCTTAGTTAAAGGAAGGAAACATAATTTTCCTTACAAAACTCCAAGATTTCTAACTGCACAAGGACTAAACTTCATGGATTATTTCATACACACACACTCTGCACATTCCACTTTCAGTGCATGCGAACTGCTGGTTCCTAAATATACAGTCTTACAATCAGCAGTATCTTCTATATAGTCCTTGAAAAGCCTGTAAGACAGTGCAAGCCCACAGCAACTTAATTTCCCTTCCCAAAATTCAGGCAACACAAAAGCACAAAGCAAGAGAACAGAAAACATTGCCGGTATGCATCCTGATGAACTATACCTAACATATAACATGCGTGTAGTATGTATTACAATTGCCCTTTCTCTATTAAGAGAATATCCACAGCCAGACTCAACTTACCGTGATTCCCAAGCAGTTGACCAATCTGATGGAGACAGGAACTCAGTCCCAACAGAACTGAAACTGCAATATGATCTTTCCAAAATGCAAAATATGACCTAGAGGCTTTAGCAATGCCACACACCTGTAAGACCCCGTGTTTAGAGCCGTGACTGACTGATTTACATAAATTCACAAAAAAGAATTTTTCAAAGATATTGCAGGAGGTGTAATAGTCCTACCAAAAAACTGAGCTCTACATGAAACAGGAGGGACTACTTTCACCACCTCAGACTGCCAGTGGTGTAACCACAGATTTTTGGTGGAGCTCAGGATGATCTGAATATTTAGAGAAGTTGTAAGGCTGCCACTCCTGCACAGGAGATGGCGGTTTTCACTGCACCAGCCGGGAATCGAACCCGGGTCGCAAGAATGGGAATCTTGCATGATACCACTACACCACTGGTGCTTCCCTGCAACTGTTAAATAATCAAATCACCCTGGGCTGTCCTAAGGTGCAAAGCACTGCATAGTCAGTTATCGATTTAGACAGTCCTTAAATACAAGGGATTCCTAGCCCTTTTTTCAGCTGCTGAGACAAAAGAATCTTGCATAGATCTAAAAGATCTTGTTCCCTGTGAATTAAAACACTGGAGATGATTAAGATCTACTACAAGCATGTTAGGAAAAATATAGCCGAGAGTACACATGTGAATGGCCCAAATCTTCCCTAGACGATAATGATCAAAGATGATAACAAGAAAGAGCAACAGAGATTTTTTGGCTGAAGGGAGTCCATATGAAAGCAGACATACTCTGGTACTTCCAAGTCTAAGACCATTTAGTTAGGAGCCATCTCATTAGACAGTAATAATAGTTCTATTCTTTAGACTTTCACAGGTCTGCCTCTATCACATACACTGATTACACTTTCCTGCACACCAGTGTGGTTAGCAATGAGATAGATAGAGACCAATGATACCAATGTGAGTAGTAACCAGGGCTGTGACATAACCATGACTTATGAGAGTTATAACTGTAAGTGGATTACCAGTTACAGACAGACTGACTAAGGAGGTCAAGAAACTAATGCGATGCAGAAGCAGTGGCAAATGAGGAATTTGTGAAGGTACAGTATGTGATGCCTTGAGACCAAAGACCAAATACTTAGATGGGATCAGAAGTAATTACAATACTCCACCCAGCAGAGAGGTTCAAGGGTATTCTGACTACCAGATGAAACTTCAGTTGTAAATCCGTCCCTGAACAAATCATTTCCATACACTTTTGGTAATGGTTTCAGGTTAGTTATTACAGAGTTTCTGAATCCTATAGTCTGATAATACTGATCTGAACTATTCAGACCACAACCACATCACTTTCAAAACAGAAAGTTCTTCTACAGATGGTCTTGTGACCTGATTCTGAAACAGGTCTCATTAATTATTGCATCAGAGATAGATGACTTAATTTTGCAAATTCCACATGTAGAAGACTTACAAATCACATGCTTCATGACACATGCCATTCTCCTAATTAAGTGCTTTTAATATTTCCATATGCCCCATAATATCCTCATATGAACAATA